TTCTATTCCAGAGGAAATTATTTTGGCCACAGAAAATGCCAGTGCATTCCTCAGCCTCGAATCCCCTTGAACTGTTCGATACAAATCTCACGCTGTTCCCACAGCAGAGCCACAGCCACCCCCCGCACCTCCTGGCCACCACCACGTCTGCTGGGTTCACCCTGCCCACGCCGGTAAATCACACACGTTTCCTCTAATCTGCCACTCTCCGTTATTGCTGTCCGGTTTCAAAGCAATCGCGAGATGTTGTTAATGATGAGCCCGATGCAGAGGTCAAGAAAAGGTTTTGCGTGGGGTTCAGCTGGACCAGGGACTGTTGCGGTGCTCCAGAAGAAGTGTTGTGTGCAGCCGCAGGGAAACGCAGGGCGGCTTTTCTGCACAAGAAAAACAAACCAGGATTTCCCGTGGGGATGTCAAGATTTCGTCGTCCTGTGGTGTAATTATTTTTTCGCTTCTGTTCCTCGCTCTGTGTTGCTTCAGTCAATTCCATTTCTCTCCTAAGCAAAAGGAGAGTCACACCCGAGAAGTCTAATACTGTGTGGGCAGAATAGCACCGCCTGGTCTCGGCTAGCCAAGGAAAAACTTCACTCTCTGGAGAAACAGCAGGGAAATCACCCACAAATCCCTCTTTGCGTCGCCCAGACTGCTCTGGCGCTGCCACACAGCCCTCCGCCGGCTGGGGGCCAGGCGGAGACTTCCTCTCTGCTCCCCTCTCACCGCCTTCGCTCCCCTTCACGCTCCGTTATCGGCTCTTTGTAAGTCACGTTCTCCAAAAAGCCCAGAAACTCATCCGTCAGCCCCTGACCCAGGGCATGCCCCAGCGCCGGGGAGGGGGGGCTGACACCCCCTTAGCGAGCCCTGCACCCCCCAAACCCTCCTGGATTTTGGCTTCCAGCTTGGTGACAACACAGCGAGAGCGGTGCGTGAAGGTAAAGGGGGTTCAGCACGGGGTACCCTCCAGACAGAAGCAGCCAATCTTTTAGGGTTAAATGCGATGGTGAGTCTGGACGGCCCCGCAGGGACGGGATGGTGCTGTTTTGGGGAGAGGCACTGGGGGGCTTTATCTCCACCTCGCTCACAGCAAAAGGCTCAGGCAGGTAGTGATCGCAACAGTCACATTTAGGGGAAGAAGCAAATCAAGAAAGGCAAAAATAAAGAGAGAAACTGCCTTTGGAGAGGCAGCTCAGAGCTCTCCCTCTCTGCTTGAGAGGGGAAGGCTTCAAATAAGAATTTATCAAGTTTTGTAAAAATAACACAGCCGGTCTGTCTGGACCCTCAGGGTCTCCATGTCACCTGCTGTCCCACCAGGCAGACGATGCTGCCCCCACCTCCTGCACCCACCAGCGGCTTTATGAACACGACGATTTAAGCACAAACCTAAATCCAAACTCTCCTCCCGGGGTGGATTCACAGACCCCTGGGGACACCACGATGACCTGCAGCGAAGCCTGAACCCCCATGGGGTGCCCTGACCCCGTAAGCAGGAGGGTCTCCAGGACGGGCTTCCCGGATCCAGCCCACCTCTGCCGGGACGGGAGCTGGGAGAGGGGGACGAGTGATGAAAAAAACCCCAGCAGGTGCTGCATCACTTTCTGATTACAAACGATGTCTATTTTCCCTGGAAAGATCTGTTTCTGGATGGTGAAAGTTTACCTTGGACCTTATTTGGGTCTTATAAACTTTGGTTTTTTTGGCTGGAATCCAGCGCACGGGTCTGCTTTTGCCCTTTCTGGCAAGCGCCAAGACCACGCTCCCACCCGGCGCTCCATTGCCATCTAGCGGCACCGGGACCGCCCTCCCCCCCCGCGCCCCACCGCCACGGCTGCGCTGGGGACACCGGGCTGGGGCCCCCTGGAAAAGTAAAAAGAAAATAAAAAAATAAATAAAAAAAAATAATGGGGGATTTCTTCCTTTCCATGCAACCAAACCACACCAATCAGCTGTTTGGGTTCCCCCCCCCCCCCTTAATTATATTAATCTAAAAAGCGCATTATCAGTATTTCGCGCTGGGCTGCGGGGAGGGAGCACGGGCACGGGGAAGCATCGAGGCCCTTCTCTATGCCTTGGGGGGAGAAAAGAGGCCGTAAGAAGCAGCAGCTCTGCAAAATCATCTGTGTGGCACATTCGAAGCTTTTATTTGCTGTCATTTAAAAATCTCCAGGAAGCTTCCAAACAAACTCTTCACCAAAGAATAACGGCTCATTGACTGTCTGGGGTTTTGCCTACAATAAATAACGTTCAGTTCTTCCTGCTTGAACTCCCTCCTGGGCGCTCATTTGTTTTACTTCCCTGTGGCTTTTCCTCAATACCAACCGCTGTTTGTTTGTATTCTCCAACAGCACGAATCACCCCTTCAGCAAACCACAGGGGACACAGGACTTTGCCCTCATTTAGGTAGCGCGGGTCTGGGAGAAGCTCTGTGGCTTTAAAGGGGTTGGTCTGTGGATGAAGGAGGGCAGCGAAGGTACTGCCTTGCCCTCTTACTTCTTCTTCCTCGGCAACTAAACCCCACATTTTGCCTTCAAAAGCAATTATCCTCTGTCTCAGGAAGAGAGGGGCAGTCAGTAGGAGACACCAGCCCTCAGGGTCTCCATGTCACCTGCTGTCCCACCAGGCAGACGATGCTGCCCCCACCTCCTGCACCCACCAGCGGCTTTATGAACACGACGATTTAAGCACAAACCTAAATCCAAACTCTCCTCCCGGGGTGGATTCACAGACCCCTGGGGACACCACGATGACCTGCAGCGAAGCCTGAACCCCCATGGGGTGCCCTGACCCCGTAAGCAGGAGGGTCTCCAGGACGGGCTTCCCGGGCAGCACGGATCCAGCCCACCTCTGCCGGGACGGGAGCTGGGAGAGGGGGACGACTTATGAAAACCACGCACACAAGTACCTGTGAAATACTGATTATATTTCTATGCTTTTGTAGCAATATAATACTTCATATGAGACTGAGAAACATACTTTCAAATATTTTAAGTTACCTGTACACCTACACAGCCCGTTTATGGAAAAGGAACGCCTTGCTGCTGCTTGCTTAAATCCATGACTCGCGAGTCCCACAGCAACATAATAAATGCCCAGAATCCACGACCTTTTCTTTTGCTCACTCAGATAAAGCTCATTTTATAAACACTAGAATTGCATTGCAATATCCATATATAAATATATATATAAAGAAAAAAATTTCTACCTTTCATAAATACATCATACACAAAATATGTTCCCAAAATACATTCATGCGTTTTCCCCCTTCTAAGATCCCTGGTTGGACCCCAAGTGTCTGTACTCTGGGAAGGGCAATCGCTGGGCAGGGCTTGGAGACAGCCTCACGTCTGCCGCTGGCTCCGACCCCAGCGGGAGGTTGGGAAGAAGCCTTTGGCGTTCGGCTGGTGTTGGGGTTCGCTCGGGCACCCGTGGGTCTAATCCTGCCTCCCTGGAAAAACGGGGCTCTCCTGCACGCTGTGCCCAAGCAAAGTTGCACCAGCTGTTCAAGCAGCCAAAAGCCACTCTTCGTCTCACCCTCAGCTCTTACAGTTTTACCAGCAGTTACTGGAGATGCTCAAGTCTTTCCCAGCACTGGGCAGTGGCTGGGAAACAAGGGCTTTGGAAGCTAACGGAGGAAGCAATGCCCGTTTATGAAAGCATAAATACACAAAATATACAAAAAACATCTACAAAGTAATCCTAAGTAGCATCTGGCACAAAAGAAGCGCCAGTTTTGCAGCTCAGCGACGTAGGTCCCGTCCCCGTGAACGTGGTTTATACAGCGTAGGACTCCAGGGGCCGATGCCAGCCCTGCCCGCAGCCGTACCGGGTGGTACCCGGACAGTACCCGGACGGTACCCGGATGGTGTGGCTCTGCAAATACAGGCAGAGGAAGCACTGACCTCGCCTGGGCTGGGCTGGGAGTGGAAATTCCACTTCCCCCCCGCAAAGGTCCTGGTCAATATTGCAAGTGCACATTCAAAGGTCATTTTGGGAACACTGCCCTCTCTGCTTGCAAGCAGACCAGCTACAAGCCAGCATCTCCTTGCCGCAAGGCAGCCTGGCGTTACGGCGAGCTCTCCCTTAAGCTCTAGAGACAAACGAAATTCATTCCGACTTTCCTCATCCACCCAAACCCCAGGCCCTTACCGAGCAACCGAAGCAAAGCATTGCATAGATCTGTATCTCCTGTCTCCCCCCACCCAGCAAACAGCGAGCAAGAAGTTCAAGTTTTGCACGGGACGTGACAAAAGGCGTCACCTTTAAACAACGCGAGAGGAAAACAAAGAATAAAGACGTGTCACCACGGTGTAAACCCTGCGATGAAATGAGGCAGTGAACGCACAGTGCTCGGCAGCTCTCGGGGACGGCCGCCTGTAGTGTACTGATGAATTTGGTAGATAAATCTCACCTCGAAGCTACCTCCCATGGCACAGTAATACGAATTTGCATAATTAGATAACCCGCTCCTGAGCAAAAGGAGCGATGCCGTGTGTCGCAGGAAGGAGGAGGACACCGGCGGGGCCGTCTGCTTTGCCTACAGCAGTTTAAGGGCCAGTCGTCCTCTTTGCATCGCAGACCGGAGGACAGAAGGGCTCTCTTCAGGCTTAGGAAGTCCAACAGAAGTTTTGCTACAGTCGGCTTTACCACTGAGATATTAGGGACCAGATCCTCTGGCGGTTTAAACCCCACGCACTCCATTGGAGCTACTGGTGCTTATTTCCACGAGTGGAGAACGCGGTCCTTGCTTGTCACAGACAGAGAATAAAGCTACGGTAGCCCTTTCTTTAAATAAAATTAAATAACCGCATATGGCGTCAGCGCACAATTTTAAATGTGCTTCTGCTGTTAAGAAAACAGCAAAGCACACCAGTGGTTAATTAAATTATTTCTCTTGAACTAAAAAAGTGATAATATTACTATTAATTAAAAAAAAAAACCCTAGGGACCGCAGAATGTCTTCTTGTTGTATTTTTGACGCTGCGAAAGTCACTTCCGCGCGTACAGCGCTATATATCTTCTTCAGCCGGCAGCGCAGGTTTGTGTTCCTGGAGGTCACAGTTGCCATTGTCAGATGCATCTGAGCTGCCCGGAGCCGACTCTGCCGGCGGGGGCTTGTAGAGTAAACAGGCGACTATAAAGAAGGTCGTCCCGAGCACCTGCAGCCATGAAGACATCCCGTTACTCTCCGCTCCCCCTAAAACCAACGCGCCCAGCCCTCATCTGGGACGAGCTTCGCTGACCAGGCTTTGGGGAGGAGATAAGGGTGAAGGTCAGCCTGGGCGGCGCGCCAGCCTGGGCAAAAATGTGAAATTTAGCCAGTCCCACAGCAATGGGAGGCAGAGAATCTGGAAGATGGTTCAGCCCCACGAGCACACCCGGAGCACAGCGCTGCGCAGACCGACACCACCCGACCCACTCGCTGGAAGGCTTCTGAAAGCCTCTTTAGCACAGCAACTGCTGAACACCACTATCTAGGGCAAGAGCTTGTTTGGGAGCTGTTAAAATGAGGGTTTTCGGGTCATAAATAAGAAACACAGAGCTCAGCTCACTTATTTTCTAGCAGCGACCGGGGAATGGTTATTTACAGCCTGCCCACAGTGCCATCCCTCACTCTCGCTAACTCACTGTAGTTATATATTTTGCTCCATTTCCAGCAAAAATCACTTCGGTAACTGTTGGGAGATATTTCATACAGCGCAACAGAAGCTGTGAGCCTAGAACGTAATGGGAATTGAAGAGAATGCTGGTGCCTGGAGCACCATTAGCGAATGGAGCTTTTGCCTTCCCTGAGAACATTTCTTGAGTGAAATTCTGATTTGGAGCGAAGTGGGGTTAGATCAGGACAACCCAATTTTGTAAAATTCTCTCCCAGAGCAAAGCGCTGTCTCCTAAAGACCCGCTCGCTTTACCAGAGAGTGAAGTTAACGGGCAGCGTCACCTTGTAGACCAGTCCAGCGACGAGGGTGTACCGGCTCATGGCTGAGTTCTGGTACACGTAGCAAGAACCTTGCTCGCCGCACTGGTCCTGCCACAGCAGGCAGGATTTATCGATCCTGGACCCAAAGGCGATGGGGCCAGGGATGCCTCCTGCGGGAAGAGAGAGTGGACCTTCAGTTTGGGCAGCACGGTGCTTGCAGAAAAGCATCAGACTCTGCTGCTCTGGTAATTAAGCAAACTCATCCTGCAACATCTAGAACCACCCAAAAGACGCTGAGTTTTGAGACTTGAGAGTCCAGCGAGTCTTTTGACCACCCTGACCTACACGTCGGACAAGAGCCAAGAGACAAACACAGAAGCTTCAATGCTTCTTGTCCTTTTTTCTTAAAATAAGGACCGGTGCTCCTCCACCCCACCTGTGACGTGTAACAGAACCCTTCATTCAGTTTGCAAACCATATGCAAAGGGAATATGGTTTTTCTGAATGACAGCAAACAAGAGAAAACAAAACATCTTCCTTTCAACAGCGCGTGTCCTACCCCTTTCCTTTCCAACCCAACCTCTTTTGTTCTTAGGTAACACAGGTTGGCACACGCTCCGCAAAGCCAACGGACCGTACCGATGCTCAAATTCACCCTGCCCCGTACCTAGTGTTCGTACTACAATCCACTGGATCCCGAGTGCGAATGACCTTTGCCTGTCGGAGACGCACCTGGGGAACAAGAGAAGACTGTTTAAAACCGCTGCCAGGCTGCACGGCACCTCCCCGCCACACACTTGGGGCCTCCATCCCCTCTGAAGATCGAGGTTCCCCCCCAGTGCAACGTCCCCCACACTGCTGCTGCAAACTGGGATGTACATGTGGGTGCCCCGTGTCAGAGGACAGAGCTGCCAATGCTAAAATTGGCTTTCCCAGCTGGACAGGGAAGGGAATTAGTCCTGATGCCTCTGGACCGCCCTAACAAGGTGGTTTCCATCACACCTTCCCCATGGTTTGAGGCAGCAGGATAAAGCGGAGCGGTGGATACTGGGGCGTCTTGCAGCACTGGTGGTGGACGAGGCGATCCCGTGCTTACCGCAGAGTGGCGGTCAGGGCAGGAATACTGCTCAGGAAGGTGAAGAGGATCACCACGAACATGAAGAACAGCAGCAAGGGCTTTTTAGCACAAGAGGAGGTGCATTTCCCTGCCTCTGCGTCGCTGAGGCCGGACAGGAGGGTTTTCTCAACGCAGCTACACTCGTGGTAGACCTGGGAAAGAAAGGCTGGTGGGTGCCTGGCGAGGGAGAACGGTGATGGTCAAAGCTGAGCTTCAAAGAAACAAGGGCAGAAACCAGACCGTTTTGGTCCTAGAGCAGAGCAAAGCAGAAATCAAGCCGCATTCTTGGCACACCTCTGTTTCGGCACAGGTTGTTAAATAAGAGAAATTAACTTTGCCAGGCAGCCCTTGAATGCTGAATGTCATCATTACCCTTCTCGAGCCTTTGCCTGTCTCACTGAGTGACGTGCTGGAGGGATGAGGAGGTACATCCCATCCACTGAAGACCCAAAATAAGCATTCTGATGGGAATGAGGTGCCCGCTGAGCTCCTCGCCTGCTTGGGTGGTTTACCATGGATTTCGGTGCAGTTGGACCCAGAGCCAGGCAAAACCAAACTTGGGCACACCGAAGGAAGCAAAGCAGGGCAACCTCAGGTTACCTTCTGCCTTCATCCCAGGTGGTGCCCGAGAGCATCCTCCACCCGCGCGGGGCTGTCTCTGCCCTTTACACCGCTTTGCAGCAAAGCTCAAACCCGCAGAGACCTTTGCAGAACCCGCCAAAACACTCTGGAGAAGATGCGCCACCACCTTGTTAACACACGGTGCTTTCAGACGTACCTTCTTGCCATTCCTGAGGTTTTCAGACACTTCTTTGCAGCCGGCGTGGCAGGGAGAGTAATACATAACGTCATCGCTCCCGCAGACAGGGCTGTAGGTCTCCCGTAGGCAGCCGCACTCGGCGTTGCAGGCTGCTGTCAGGTTTAGGTGGCCACCGGGCAACACGCTGTGGGAAACACAGGAGCAGTCAGTGGGGAAACACTGAACAGCATTTTCCAGGAGGAAATGGGTAGAGCAAGAGAAGGAGAAGGGGGGAGGGTAGGAGATGCGTTGGATGCCCAAGTAGCATAAAGCCAGGCTTGGGAAGGGCTTCACCTCACCCAATTTTAACCATGGACAGGAATCGTGCCCTGGAGCTGTGTCTTTCCCACAGCTACTTAAGGGAGTTTAAGTGACCAGCTCATAGGGAGACACCCCCATTTGGAGAGGAGCTTCCCACTTTTAGTCCAGTTTATCTCCCTGGATAGAGATGGGGGACACTGTGAAGGCAACTGAAGAGTGGAGCGTCTCACACTCCGGCGCTGCTGATCTCCCCTCCCTGACTAAAGAGGGAGTCTCTTCCATAAACTCCAACCAGATGCAAAAATTAGGACATCTATATTCGGGGTCTCACCCTCAGTATCTGCCCGTAAGACTTCCATCACCAACACATTCACACATGACTACCACCAGCACCGTGGTTTTGGAGTTATCCTTCTACTCTAACCAGGGCCCTGCAGCAGGAGACAGATGGGATGATTGTTATTACCTTCCCTCGTACATCTGGGTTACTCCTGCCATCGGCATGTTAGGGCAGTGAATGAAAAAAATGAATATAGCCAGCAGACTTGATACTGTGCAAAGTAAACACAATTTGATGATTCCTGAACAGCGGAGTTTAAATTTATTCACCAGGAATCCTCCCAGGAATGTGCCTCCCCCTCCGGCTGGCACAACCAGATAACCTGAAAGAAGGGGAAAAAAAACCAAACAACAAACCACACGCAATTTTAGAAATGTCAGTGAGGAGTTTTCATGGCTGAATACATTAAGTGCAATGTCTCTGCATGAGAATAACCCCTTGGTTGCTGCGTGGCTTCTTGGTGGGAGTTCAGTGGACTTTGCTACAGCGGGTGGTCCTCCACAGCAGCTCAGATAACATGCCATGAACCTGTTCAGGCACCTTTTCCTACCCAGCTACCTTCCAACAGACACTTTGAGGAGCACATCGTGAGTATTGATGCTTGTGGGACACCAATTCCTCGGTCTACGACACGGCAGCTAAGTGAGGATCCTCCCAGTTGTGGGATGCTGACAAAATACGTCCCCCAGTTCAGACATCCCTCGTTAGAGGAAACATTTAGTTAATGTTTCCTAGCGATGCACTAGAAGGAACAGACTACAATTATTTTGCCTTCCTCTAGAGGGTAACAGATGGTTACAGAAGTGACACGTTTCTTCCTGATGTCAGTAGATACAGCTCTGAAAACACACTTGGTACAGATGTGCTGAGGGGAAACGATCCTATCTAATAGCTGAAGACGATAACCGCTCTGTAAATGAAGAGCAAAGCGTGTTGGTCTCCATTCTACATGAGCTACAGTGCTCTTGTATTTGTAGGCAAACGGAAAAACACTGCAAAAACCTGGTTTCCTTACCAAAAAAGGTAGCAGCTTCAGAGGCACTTAAACTAAACTGAGACTCCAGGAACTTGGGCCCAAACGTGGACATCCCAGCAATGAGGGTGGCTTCGGTCGCTCCCGCTAAGCAGAGGAAGATGAATGTGGGGTTCTTCAGAAGCAGTAGGACTGATCTGGGAAGGACAAATATACTGGAATTGAATCAGCACTTACCCTGGCCCTCTTTTATAGCCCCGCTGGCTACGGCCAACCACCAAGAGATTCTGAGGAATGTCAACCAAACACCTAAACCAGGAGGGAATAATCTGGGACTCTTCTCTGTGGATCTCACCAGGGCATCAGATGGGTCTATTTATCTCATGCACATGTTCAAAATGCGCAACAGTGTGTGTATGTGATATAATCCATGCTCAGGGTTCCCATGACATGCACGTGGATGATTTCAGTGGTAATTTTCCAACATTCAGGGGCAGGCTGAGTATCTTCCACTCCTAAATGGGGCAATACAGACAGGACAATACTCCTCACCAAATCTCAATCATTTCAAGGTTTTTTCAGTCCCCGACGGCAGTTACGTTGGGACTCCTGACTCAAACAACCAAGAGCAGGGAACAAAGTTGTGTTACATCCTCACGCCCTCGTGTACACACATGCTGCTCATGCGCACCCACGGCCTCAAGAGAATAACAGTCTCTGAGAGCCATGGACATTCTGCAGCTCGGGGGAAATACCAAACAAGCCTTTCTATGTGGAGGAAGCCCCTCCAAGACACTTTATATCCCACTGCAAAACAGAATGCAACCTTTCTCCCACAATCTAAGCACAGTTTTACTTTAAGCTTAACATATAAATTGAGCAAACGCATTTTCTTTTCGACCCACTGGGATTTAGTAGAGAGCCGTAGATATGCCTGAAAAATTGCCATGTGTCATTTATATGCGGGAAGATGATCCAGCAATGATTCCATCTCGGAGACACAGAAATACCCTCAAGCACACGGGATGGTCTCAATTATCTCTCACTATCTCGGATATTGGACTAAGAGTGTTGACACTGCTTTGTAGGGACCGTTTTGTAACGAGCTTCAAATTCTGCCACGTGCCTTCCCCCAAGCCTGGCCCGGACCGGTATCAGAGATCACCCCACTGCTGAGACAGCCACAACCCCGTCACCCCGCAGCCGCAGGGAGGCCGTGGGATGCTCGCTGAATTGAAAGGCGCAGTCACTTATCCCCCGCTGCTTTGGAGGAAATGGGAAATCAGAGAAAACCCACTGCGGTACAACCGAGTGAGAGACGTGCGGAGGCTCAGCACCAGATTTATGCAACTTTACCCGCATGAAGTGGAGAACATCATTATAGCAAAAGAACAAAGAAGCTGAAAGACAGAAATACCACACGTTCTTACACCTTGATTACAGAGGGCTTTACACCAACCATTGTATAGCTGTTGGGATTAGTTTAATTTACAAAACTATTCTCCAGGAATGATCTTTACGACTGTGCTTTATTTGGAAGCAAAAAGCATGTCTCAGTGAGTAAATACTTCTTGGGAACCTTGTGGCTGATGTAGAAATTGTACAATGCAATTGTACAATTTGAACCTTTCTACAGTTTCTACAGTTCAAGAGAAAAGAGAGGAGCTGTTCCCTGGCACTCACGTGACTTCGTGCCTGTTGGCCAAAGGTTACAGGTTAGACTTGCAGCTAGGAAAATGCAGAGGAACTCCTTTCAGCGCTAAGGGTAAGAGTTTACTCACGTAATTTAACCTATTTATAGACAGAAAATGTAGTTGTGAGGAGCTACGGCGTATAAAACCTTCCCAAAGTCAACACAGACCTTTTAATTGCTATCGGTAGGATTTTAATCACTCCCAGAAACCACCTAACTCCTGAATAGTCTTTGACTGTGCTCAGTTCTTGCAGCCAAAGGGATTTCAGGAAGCTCAGCACTGCTGAGAGAAGAAACCCACCATCTATAAAAGCTTGATCCTCCAAGTCTTTATGGATATGGGCACATATAGGTACTCTTTCCTCATGTAATGGTCCTGCGGAGTAGGTTGGGACCACCCGTACAGTCAGAGCCTTCTCCTCTGAGGAGCGCTCGTGTGCCCAGGACACCCCAGACCATAACAGAGCACGGGCGCGAGCTAACGAGTCAATAAGGGCAGAGGAGTATTTATGCAGTCTTGGAGCATGTGAACAGGGACTTTTCCAGCGTGCAGAAATGACACCTTCTGTCCCCACCACCAAGGGAAGGGAGGGCAGCACATACGTCCCGCAGGAACGTAAACCAACCTCCCTTCGCCACCCACAGAAGCTTTAGTAAAGCCACAAGACAAAGCAAAGCGCCACTCTGCCAACCGACCCAAGGGGGATGAGTGAAATATCGACCGGAGCTTCTCGTGTAGAAGACCGGGGCTTGACAGAACGGTGAGTGACCCTCACCAGTCCTGGCCCATAGCTCGCTAGGACAAAGCCTCCGCTCCCGGCACAGCTCTACGTGTCTTCTGTTTGAATCCCTCTGCGCTGACAGACGGGGTTATTTCATGAGAGCAATCGTATGGAACCAGAGAAAGGAAAATGCTATTTTATCGGGCGTTTTCAACCCAAGAATTAAGACAGAAGTCTGCTCAGTGCAGAGGAGCGAGCTGGATGGGCTGCATTCCCCTAAGCGCCGGCTATTAGGCAGCACCATGAATACAGTAATTCATTAAGCTCACTTAGAAAGTGGCAGAGTATTTCATTTCATCAGTATCTCTGCTTATCTTTGTGAGACTCTTGCTGTCCGTACTGTGAGAGAATGTGTAGCACCCGATCCCTTCCTAAAACAAAAGCCACAGTGTCCTCTGGCCTCGCTCTCCGGCCCGGGCCACGCGTCCCCAGAAGCTGCACACACAGATGTGATCTCCTCTTTAATGCAAGTTTTCAGAATAGCAACCCTTTAAGGCACTTCCCTTTTATTAATCAAAACCAGGGGACACAAAAGTCTGTTGGATTTTTATTTTTTTTTTGCTTTGAAACGAAAACCACACTGAGGTCCGGACTGATCTGAGCTATTTGATACGAGTTGCCCACCTTTGGGTATTTGTTTTTCAGGAATAAGGGGTGAAAGAAGACGGTCCCAGTGGAGGACCAGCTCCGTACCTGCTGTCGGACAGCCCTCACCCAGAAACAGTGGGAGCTTTGTTCCAGATAAGCAAGAAAAGCATCAACCACTGAATTTCATCCCTCTCTGCTACCCTGTTTGTGTTGGTTTTAGTCATAACCTTATCATTATTTAAATGCAGGTTTTGAATTTAATTTCCGTGCGGAGAATAAGCCCTGACCTCGGAAAATGGCACCCAGTCAAGAATGCCATTTAATAACAGTATTGAAATCTGTTCAATGTAATATTCTCCATAAAACTGCCTTAACCCCTGGAAAACTTCCTACAAAGTCTTCGGGAGTTTCAGACCAACGTGAGCAGCAGCACTGGCACAATACAGAGCGACCGCTGCTGAAAACGCCGGCGCTGAGCACCCGCCCCGATCCTCCTCTGCCAGCAAATACCACAACTAAAGTTCAGGAGTAATTGCTGGCACCAGCACGGGGTTTGGCAACTCTGAATGTTTGCCTTTGCGTGGGGCAGCCGTCACGCACGGCCGCCAACTCCTCCCTAAGGAATACCAAAAAAAAGAAAAATCCCTTTATTGACTGCAAGCTCCGAAAGGAATCGACACCCACATATCCCTGCAACATCCACAGCGGGCACACCAGCCACAGCCAAGCTGCAAATAAAGCAGCACCTCTCCCCCTGCCCTCCGTTTACAGCACCCCAGACTGGTGGGGGCTGGAAGGGCCCTCTGGAGCTCCCCCATCCCACCCCCGCCAGAGCAGGGGCACCTCCAGCAGTGGCACAGGACGGCGTCCAGGCGGGTTTGGGATGGCTCCAGAGGGGGAGACTCCCCCACCTCTCTGGGCAGCCTGTGCCACTGCTCTGCCGCCCTCACAGCAGAGAAGGCCCTCCTCAGGTGGAGATGGAACTGCCTATGGTCACGTTTGTGCCCGTTCCCTCTTGTCCTGTCACGGGGCACCGCTGAGGACAGTCTGTTCCCATCCCCCCGGCACCCTCCCTTGAAGGATTTATCAGCATTGATAAGATCCCCCTCAGTCTTCTCTTCTCCAGACTAAAAAGCCCCACATCCCTCAGCCTTTCCTCATCAGAGAGATGCTCCAGTCCCCTCCTCATCTCCGTAGCCCTTTGCTGGACCCTCTCCAGCAGTTCCCTGTCCTTCTTGACCCGGGGAGCCCCGAACTGGACACAGTGCTCCAGATGTGGCCTCACTGGGGCAGAGCAGAGGGGGAGGATGACCTCCCTCCACCTGCTGGCCACGCTCTGCTTGATGCCCCCCAGGATGCCACTGGCCTTTTTCTCCACCAGGCCATTTAAATACAACTCAACACACACACATACACAAAAAAGTAATCACAAGAGCTTTCAGAGATCCATAGCAAACGTTTCCAGGTTAAAAGACCGCATTTAATTTTGGCCACTCACTCGTTCCCACCCAGGATCCCCTGAAACCATTTCCTCCCACACCTCCCTCGGTGCACGTGCGCTCGCCCACTGCGCAGAGCCAAGCGGCAGCTCCGGGATCAGGCGCACTGCTGCGTCACCGCCTCGCCAGAGAGATAAGAAGCAGCAACACATGAAAGGCAGCTGGAAGATGCACAGGCAAAAGAAAAAAGGCAACTGAGAATAGAAGAGAACGAGAACTGAAAGCTGCAGTGTAGGACATCTTGCTCCCTAGATTTGGCATGGGGCTATAAAAGTCAGGGGTTTTGTTTCCTTTCTTTTCTCATTACAAGGACAAAATAGGGATCTAACACAAGCAAAAATAGAGGAAAGGAAGAAAAGCCCCGAGAAGGAGGAGATGGTGTTGGGCCAGGTGAGGCCGGACACAAGCAGACGGGAGGAAACAATGCCGTTGGGGAGAGGGAAGGAGACGGCAACGCCTGCGCATCCCCTGTCACCCAAGGGCTGGCACCGAGTCAGGGGGACCCGTGTCACGTATGGCTGCAGGGGGACCTCCGCGCGTGGACGTGAGCTTCTGAAAACCACAGGCAGGACCAGCACCTCATCCCCTGCTCTCCCACCCGACCCCCAGCACAATTTCTAGTTCAGCCCATCTGCCGAGAGCCCCCGGCCGCTGACGGGACCCGGCGCTTTGCAATGCCTCTGCGAGAGAGCCTCATCCCTACGTTTGGAGAGGGGCAAAACCTTTTATCTGGCATCGTAGAGAGCAAGCTCAGCTTGGGCCCGTTGCTCTCGCTTCTGGGAGGGCTCCCTGAACCTCAGCCATGGGGCGATTTTCTCACCGAGGTAGATCTTTAACTGTTTTCCCAAAGTCCGGATCCGATGCTTTCTTGTGGCTCCCATCCTTTAGCTGATGAGCCTCCGACACCCTCATAACGATATACCGCTGGGATCCTGAAAATGAGAGGCAAATGGGAATGAGGAGCAGGTGAGATAGGGGATGGGGATGCTGCCGAGGCGGTGGATTTGCAGGGGGAAAACGCAACGCGACATCCTCCCTCCGCCAACGGCTGCAGGGGAGGAGCAGGGAAACGGGCAGCTGGAAAGCCGCGGGGGTGAAATCCGTGTAGGAATTACAATTTAAACACTGGAAGCTCTTCCTCTACCCCCGTGTCCCCAGCTACACGCGTGCGGAAGGATGCCTGCCCCAAGGGGAGCGTGAGTACCGGGCGGCCCCAGCCCCGGTTCCCCGGAGCCGCAGCGGGGCCACGTACCTGGGAGGCGCTGGGGGTACCCCAGGATGGGGATGGAGATGAGGAGGGAGGCGGCGCCGGCCCCGAGGAAGCCGATCCACCATGCCCCAACCCACAGCGTGTTCTCCGGGGCGATGTCGATCCTGTAAGAAAGGAAGCCGAGAGGACACAAGGGAGGGAGGCGGCGGTTTGAGAGGGAGCGGGACAGCCCGGCGTGCCTCTCGCTGAGGCTGGCAGGGGTCGGGGGGACACCGGGGGGACGTCAGTGAAGGAAACCAAGCTCTGGTTTCTCCGACGGCCATCTGCTGGGGGTGCCACATCCACCACCCCTCCCGTCACACCGCAGCGCTGCCTGCCTTACCCGAGAGCACACTGCTTAACGAGCCCCTCACTAAACTACATCATTTAATTCTTTAACCTCTGGCTTGGACATTCCCCTCTCCCCATTTCATTTGTGCTTTGGGGGTTGCTACGATCTTCGTTCCACCTCAGAGCCATCCTGCTGCAAGAAAACCGGTGGAAAGAACCCATTCCGTCCCCTGGAAACCCGCTCCCCCTTTTTAACCCAATCACCTGCCAAAGAGCCTGCAAAAAGATAAAAATAAATTCCAAATACTAAGAAGGAAGGAGGGACTGAGCATCCTGGCTGGATGGCCGGGAGGACGAGCGGCGGTGCCGGCAGCGGCGCCTCATCAGGGAACTCATTCAAAAAATTCACCTGCTGCTCGCAGCCTCATTAGCGCGGGCAGCGCAGCGTGAGGAAGGATTTAAGCTGACAGGTTTGTCAGCAGTTTTCTTCCAGCCCCAGCACTAATGCAAACCACCCGTCCAGCCTCACCGGCCCCCCCGCAGAAACTCCACTCAACACCACGGGCACGTTTCCACCCAGCCACCGGGTCATTGCTCCAAATTATTATCTTTTTTTTTTTTTTTTTTTTACCCCAGAGGAAACATATAGCATAAAGGAAAAGGAACAAGATTATTTTTTAGCAACTTACTCTCTGCCAATTTCAGTATAAATATTTAGAAACATTCCTCCTACCAGATAACCCGCTGCAGGCCCAAGGATTGCAGCAGTGTAGAAAACAGCTGAAAAGGAAAATAAACCCTGTTAGAGAAACAGCAGCATTCCAGCCGGGGATGCCGGGGATGCCCCCGGGATGCCGGGGATGCCTGATGCCCTCCTGGATGCGGGATGCTCAGCCTCCTGCCGCCTCGCACCCCGCTCCGCGAGCCCCCGAGAAACAAAGCCGGAGTTTCCACACGTTTTCCTCTCCCGCTTGTGTCGCAGGGAAACTTTTGCATCCAACCTGGGAATGTTTATAGCGTGGGGCAGGCAAAACTGGTCCACTGGAAAAACATATTTATGTAGTTACTGTTGTATTATTTAGCAGGGATGCAGCTGACCCCGCTGCCGCATCCCGACTGCCGGCGTGATGAGCAGCGGCGTTGTCTCCCCACTGACAACAGGCAACGTCTGCGCTCAACGCGGCCCCACCGGCACTTCTTTTGGCTTGCTGCCGCAGAAAGATCATCAACTTACTGATCATCTTGTCATCTCCTTCTCGCCCTGCACAGCTTTCCGATACAACAGCATGGGCAGCCTGCTGCATTTTGAAATTGCTAAAAACTCACTCCTTTTTTGCAGTTTCCCCAAATCGGACTGTAAGCATTTGGCAACGGCTAAGCGGTGAGCGACACAGAGCAGAGAGCGGGCTGAGCCTGCTCCCTTGGCTGGGCTCTGCGCCGGCAGCATCCGACCAGCCCGGCGACCGTTCCTCCCACGCTATGGCACCGAAGGGGCGATGTCCCCTCGCACAGATCGGGTATGGCATCACGGTTGTTTGCCGGAGATGCTAATGCCATGCATGTGGGGGGTGAGCTGGAGCGTTCTGCCCAGCTGGTCCCGTGCCGGGAGCAGGAGGCACCTCCTGGTCTGCAGGACGTGTGCTCCAGGAGTGAACATCCCCCGCTGCGCCTCCAGCTCCTGTCTATAAATAATGAAATCCTCCCCGACAGCTGCCACTTTCCTCCGATTACCACCTCGCCCCTTATCAGGAACAAAAGACGGGGAGCACCCCTGGTGCAACCACCCCGTGTGCTCTGTTCGGCGCCGAGGCAGATGGACCGGCTCTCCCTCCCACCGCCCGTCCCGCCGGTCCCGGCCGCCCCTCCGGCTCCACTCACCAATGTACACAGGGGAGTGAGGCCGAACCTGTAGCTGGAGGGGCTGGAGGCAGCCTGGGCGCAGGGCAGGCTCTGGTTCCCCCCGCAGATGCCCACCTCCGCCGCCGAACGCGCCTCGTACCGTCCCGTGGTGAAGTGGGGCAAGGCGAAGAGCAGGGAACCCAAGCCCATGACCAGCACGCCCCAACCCAGCCATCGCGGTTTGTGGCCGTTCCCCCCGAAATAGCTGACGAAGGTCAAGCAGATGCACGCCGCGATGTCGTAGGAGCTGGCGATCAGCCCGCTCTGGTAGCTGCGGAGGTCAAAGCGTCGCTCGATGGAGGTGATGACCGTGTTGATGAAGCCGTTCACCGTCATGCCTTGCAGGAAGGAGGCCATGCAGAGGAAGAACAAGACGCCCTTGGACGTGTTGAAGAGCTGTAAGCACCCAGGGGTGAACCCCCCCCAGCCGCACGCCAGTTCCTCCCCTTCGGCCGACACGTATTTAATCCCTTGGCCGAACTGGGTGCCCTCCTCGCCCGGGGCGGCGGAGCAGAGGGGCTCGGCGCAGGAGTCGGCAGGACTGGGAGCACTGGAGGACGCCGTGCCGTTGCTCAGCGGGGTTCCGCACGGCTCCCGCCCGCTCGGGGCGGCGAAGGTCCGGCGGGCCTCGCCGGGAGGGGGAGAAGGGCGGGAGAAGTCGAGCGTCTGAGCAAAACAAAAGCCATTTTCTCCAGTCGAATTCTGGGGCATTGCCATGAACGGGAACGCAGAGCCGAGCGGCAGCTGGCGGTGGGGCCGGTGGCCGTGGTGGCTTCGCGGGGCGGCGAGGACCTGCCTTACGCGGGAGATGGAAACTTTCGGCGCTTACATCAGTAGGAGATGGCGAAGGTCTGAGCCAGGACCATTGCGATCTGCAAAGAGAGAATTTTTACACATGCCTTTAGATAAAACCATGCCGCAAACCTTCAAATATTGTATATTCTTTTTATTTTAATAAGTATTAGCATTTCAGTGTGCACTTCAGCGGGATGTGTGCTCTCCACCATGGGGTGTGTTGGTACCTCCGGTATCGGGGGCACCATTAACATTACAGAAAAGAACAAAACATTCAAGAGCATTAGAAAAAAGCACCTCTAAAGGCTGTCTCCCTATGGTCTCCCGACCAGCTGAAGCCCCTTACCCCTCCTCCCGAAGAGCCCCTGGTTAGACGCCGGACCCTCACAACCTCCGTCCTTCTCCTTCCCCCAGCAGAGAACGGCGCGCACACCTACAGGTTCCCCACTGGCAAAAGTCCTTCGGTCTCTCTCTCACACTCTGCCAATAACAGTTTATAATTATCCTGAAAAGTTTCCACAGTCAGATTGATTTTATTCCAAGCCCTCAGATCTGTTTACAACTATTCAGTAAAATCCTTTCTATAACTAATTAGAGTACATGCCATTTCAGAGCGAGCTGGAGGGCAGAGGCAGCTGACTCTAACCTGATTACCCATGCAGACTGCCTTCTTTCAGCCCGTTCCTGTGCATCGCAGCACCTGATCATGCCAGCAGCCAAGGGTATTTGTTCTTAAATGCCTCGGCTGAACTATAAATGATGAAAACAATAAGGTTCTGCTTCGAATGCTGGTCTTCGATACGCAAAAAATGCTAGAAAAGAATAGAATAGAATAGGATAGGATAGAATTAGAATTAGAATTAGAATTAGAATTGAGTAGAATAAAACAGAATAGAATAGAATAGAATAGAATAGAATAGAATAGAATAGAGTTAGACTAGAATAGAATAAATTTCTGTTGGAAGGGACCTACAATGAGCATCTAGTCCAACCGCCTGACCAATTTTGGGATGACCAAAAGTTAAAGCATGTTGGTAAGGGCATTGTCCAAATGCCTCTCAAACACTGACAGGCTTAAAGAGGTTCCGATAAAAAAAGTTCCACTTGAGATGGCAATCAGCCTTATCAGCAGGGAATGGGAAAAATCATAGAATCATAGAATGGTTTAGGTTGGAAGGGACCTTGAAGATCACCCAGTCCTACCCCCCTGCCCTGGGCAGGGACACCTCCCACCAGCCCAGGTTGCTCCAAGCCCCGTCCAACCTGGCCTTGAACACCTCCAGGGATGGGGCAGCCACAGCTTCTCGGGCCCAGCTCTCCTGGAGCCCCTTTAGGCACTGGAAGGGGCTCTGAGGTCTCCCCTTTTTCGCCTTCCCTTCTCCAGGCTGAACCCCCCCGACTCTCCCAGCCTGTCCTCCCAGCAGAGGTTCTCCAGCCCTCGCAGCATCTTTGTGGCCTCCTCTGGTCCCGCTCCAACAGGTCCATGGCTTTCCCATGTTGGGGGCTCCAGAGCTGGAGGCAGTACTCCTGGCGGGTCCCAGCAGAGCAGAGCAGAGGGGCAGAATCCCCCCCCTCGCCCTGCTGCCCACACTGCTGCTGCAGCCCGGGATGCGGTTGGTCTTCTGGGCTGCGATCGCGCGTTGCCGGCTTATGTTGAGCTTAAATGGCACTACTTAAACGGGCATTACTTTTCCCAATAACATGAACCATATTCAGATCGCTGTAACGACCTGGGAATATTGCAGCCTTTGGTGAAGAAATTAATACTCACCTGTGTGTTGCTGGAAAAACTTATTGACATTTGCTTGGTAGATAACAGTGTGCACAAGCACCGATGTGCTTCCCCGCGCTGGCAGTTCTTGCAGGCACCGGGGCAGGAGGACACGGCAGAACGGGATGCTCAGAGCAGCATCCATGTCCCGCTCCCACCCCAGAAGCCCAGAGCACAGCCCACACAAACTTGAAACATCCAGGTCAGCAGCGCTACAACAGGTCTGGTCCTTAAGGCAAGTTAAACAAACGAGATCCACCCCTTTCGTTTGCAAATGATCCTATCTTAATGACCCTGTCTGGGGAGCAGCGTGCACAGAATATTGCACGGTCCAGATTTCAGTAGGAATTTGGTGATAGCGCAGGGCAGGGTGCATTTGGCAGCCAGAAGGGCACTGCTCTCCAGGTCCGGCCACACTCCTCCGGGTAACTTCTACTTTACCCGGCTGAGTACGGCGCGGGAGAACTTTGATGTGCAACGTGTAAATGCAAAAACTAACTGCAGGCCTTGAAATCTTGCTGCAGAGACGGACTGTTGTAATGTGTTGGCACAAAAAGATAACGCCTTGGATGCAGGGCTGTATTTTTTCGCTTTTTCGTCCCTCCAATGTTCTTGTGACTCTTACGCTGTAAATCTGTTTCCTCATCTCTGGATGCAATATTGGAAACAATAAATAAGAGTGCTTTAGCACTCTAACTTTATTAAAGCCAGAAGCGACGATGAGGTCCTGGATCAGGCTCTAAGGGGCGGAACTGGTGGTGTTACCCCCGTGTACATCAGACGTACCTCCCGCGCGGCACCCGGCTGCCTTCAGCTGCACCCTTCCCACAGCAAACAGGAGTCTGCCGCTCCATCTGACAGCACTTGGACCAGATGCTTGCCCGGGGACTGCTTTTGCTATCACTGGTTTCAGTAGACAGAAAAAGCCCATCTCTGTCAGTCAGGTGATGAGACCAGGAGCCAAGAGCTCCCAAACACCTTCATCCCGGAGGAAACACTCCCACTGCCTCTTTACCAGCCCCGAGATATCTCCTTTGATACTTCATGAATACATATTGATATTTCATGAGTCAGGAAATAGATTACAGCTTTTCATTGCAGTTTTCTTTTCCATGAAGCAGCAGGAGCATGGGCCACCGGACCCAGGCGACCACACCGTCCTCCCCTTTGACTTTGGTTCCCCTCACTCCTACTTAGCAGTCAACACGGGGTGAAACTTTTCCGAGAAAGCAACCAGTCTTTCTGCCAAGCAGCAGATGTTTCCCCACACACAGAAGCCACCTCTGCCCCCCCCCCGAGCCCACCTCCTGGCCAGCTCCCGAGGGACCCGGGCTAATGACTCGTACCCAGGTGCTCCGGGCAAGAAGCCTGTCCCGGCTCTGTGCTCTCCACCGAGCTGCTTTTCATCTCTTAGAGCATTTATAAACTGGCAGCGACACATTCGCTGGGAATATTAGCTTTCATAGGAGCCATATGCCACTTTAGAGGACAAAATAGAATCTTGAGGGAAAAAAAAAAAAACAACCAGCTTCACGCACTTCCTAATCATTCTTATTCATCTGAACCATCCGTTTATTGCTTCCCATTCATCGCTGCTTTTAATGACTCAGCTGGTGATTTCTTGCTTACACTGCCTCAGTCCCAACGCTATTATCTCGCAGCTATAGACCTACCCATTTTGCTCCAAGATTTTAACTCAATTTTTTTCAGCCGTACAGCTGGTTCCAGACTCCCAACATTGCTAAGTCAACACAACAAAACCAGCAAGGAAACGAAAGCCTATGATTTACATGGCGTGATGAAATCTGTAAAGATTTCCCCCCCTCATATTTAGCATTAAATCAATAGTAAAACTTACAAGCCTTTCAGCAGGTGATCCTTTAAAAGGTCACAGGACCAACTAAAAACATTCTGTGTCTCTGCCGAGGACTACATTTAGACTAATGTTACAAATTAACCCATAACTGACATGCAAAATAATCCCATTTGCTGAAGCATGCCCAGTAATAGTTAATCTTCCCTTTCACTCTATGGTTTTTGACTTTTATAGGGTAGTATTGTGGCAAATAACATCTATTCATAACGTCTGCTTTCCATAGCTGAGCACAGTTTACGGTTTACGAGCAGACTTAATAATTTTTTCAGTTCTATGGCATACATGGAGATGTTTGCCAAGCAGCAGGAACGGGGGATTAAAAATGATGAGAAAATGTCCTGTAAACCAGGGAGGAGCGGCCCCAGGCGATGCTCGGTGGCTGTGGTGGGCAGTCCCAGTTATTCTCCTCGACCTGTGAGGGAGCCTGACCTTACCAAACAGGTACTTTGACTTTGGGCAAAGTCCACATCCAGGTACCAAGCTCACGGTACTCCAGAAAGGGACAAATTCCTCTGGGTTTGTACACTTCATTTCTCTTGGTAACACATACTGACTTTTTCTCGGATAGTTTGGCTTCAGAGGATTATCAGTACTACTTCTGTCGTAGCTGCTGAACACCATATGGATGAAATGTAATCCACTCTCTGGTTTAGGCACGGGGGACCCTCCCAGAAGTGAGATAAATCCACGTCCCGGTCCTGTGAACGGGGCTTGTCCTCAGGGCGCTGGTTCAGTTCGAGGGAGATAAAAGTAAGCCTGGGATGATGGGGTCATTCACGTGCAACATTGAACTGTTTTCCTGGCAGCTGAGCAACTTTACCCAGCTCACACCTGAGGAACTTTACCCAGCTCACACCTGAGGAACTTTACCCAGCTCGCATGATGTGAGATCCTTGCATTTTTTAGCATCGTTTTAAAAAGCACCCCTTTGGTTCGGCAACGCTGAGGATGCTGCTGTGGCTGAGAACGGCACGGGCACCAGCCCGGAGCCTTTTGTAAGCAATTCCTACAGGAACAGCATTGTCCTGCACACACAGAGGCGGTTCAGGAGTGAGGAACAGAGCTGAGGGGCAGCCAGCCGCCCATACACCCGCGACTGTGCTCCCCGTGGTGCCGCAGGGACAGCTGAGGTGCAGGGGAGGAGGTATCAAGAAGCGACAGGAATTCCCTGGCCCACCCCTCATGTCGGGGACGTGTTTTAACACGATTAGTCCCACCGGAGGCTGAAGCACGGAAAAGAGCAGTAGAAACTGCCTTTAAATTATCATATAAGCA